TAGGGGGCGTGGTCAGGGCTCGGTCTTTTAAGTGGGCGTGGCTTTTTGTAGTGGGCGTAGTCAGGGCTTGGTCTTTTAAGTGGGCGTGGCTTTTCGTAGGGGGCGTGGTCAGGGCTCGGTCTTTTAAGTGGGCGTGTCTTTTTAGGGGGCGTGGCCTGCGGCTACGCGTCGCAGATTTGTGGGCGTGGCCTGATGTTACGTGGGCGTGGCCAGGGGGTCGGATGTGGGCGTGGCTTTTGGTGGGGGCATGCAGAAATCAAAGCCCACATCCTGAACGCAGCCCGTGTGCTGTATGCTCCATTAGCGGGCTCCAAGGACGGCAGCTCCCCCAGCCCTGCACCCCGCAAGAAACGTGCTGCACACACCAGCCACAGGAATTCCCAGGGATTCGGATGCACATTCATTAGGTTTCATTAGCATGCTGACCCCCCCCCCTGATGTCTGAGCAGTCAGAGGTTGGGGGCTCCCCTCCGGGTGGCGGTGGGATGAAGAATCGGAGTCTTCCTCGCTGCGATCTTCTGCCCTTCAGGACGCCTCCTCACCTCCCTGCTGACGTCCTCAGGCTGCTCCCAAACTCCTTATGTTCTCCACCCCCTCCTGGTCTGATTGCGCCTGCAGTCCCCATTCTTCTGACAACTCCACACGTTTGCTTCTGTAAATTACACCTCGATCCCCACGTCCTCTGAAGCCCTTCTCTCGTCCTTCACTCTGCTTCCCCTCTCTCTGCTTCCCATCTCAATGGTTCCCCTCTCTTTGGTTCCCATCTCAATGGTTTCCCATCTCAATGGTTCCCCATCTCAATGGTTCCCCATCTCAATGGTTCCCCTCTCTTTGGTTCCCATCTCAATTGTTTCCCATCTCAATGGTTCCCCATCTCAATGGTTCCCCTCTCTTTGGTTCCCATCTCAATGGTTCCCCTCTCCCTGTGTTCCCATCTCAATGGTTCCTCTCTCTCTGGGTTCCCATCTCCATGCTTTCTGGCTCAATGGTTCTGCTTTCTGATTCTCCTCTCTATGGTTCTGAGTTCCCATCTCTCTGGTTCTGATTTCTATGGTTCTGATTTCTATGGTTCTGATTTCTATGGTCCCCATCTCAATGGTTCCCATCTCCATACTTTCTGCTCACGGATTCCTCTCTGATTCCCATCTCTATGGTTCCTGTCTCTCTGAGTTCCCAACTCTCTGGTTCCCCTCTCCATGGTTCCCATCTCAATGGTTCCCCTCTCCATGGGTTCCCATCTCCATGCTTTCTGCTGATTCCCCTGATTCCCCTCTCTACGGTTCCTGTCTCTCTGAGTTCCCAACTCTCTGGTTCCCAACTCTCTGGTTCCCATCTCCATGCTTTCTTCTGATTCCTCTCTGGTTCCCCTCTCTTTGGTTCCCATCTCAATGGTTCCCCTCTCTCTGCTCCCCATCTCCATACTTTCTGCTCACTGATTCCTCTCTGATTCCCCTCTCTATGGTTCCTGTCTCTCTGAGTTCCCAACTCTCTGGTTCCCATCTCAATGGTTCCCCTCTCTTTGGTTCCCATCTCAATGGTTCCCCTCTCCCTGGGTTCCCATCTCCATGCTTTCTGGCTCAATGGTTCTGCTTTCTGATTCTCCTCTCTATGGTTCTGAGTTCCCATCTCTCTGGTTCTGATTTCTATGGTTCTGATTTCTATGGTTCCCATCTCCATGGTTCCCCTCTCCATGCTGTCTGTCTCTATGGTTCTGCTGATTCCCCTCTCTATGGTTTCTGTCTGAGTTCCCAACTCTCTGGTTCCCCTCTCCATGGTTCCTTCTCTCTGGTTCCCATCTCAATGGTTCCCCTCTCTCTGGTTCCCATCTCCGTGGTTTCTGTCTCTATGGTTCTGCTCTGATTCCTCTCTGATTTCCTTCTCTATGATTCCTGTCTCTCTGAGTTCCCAACTCTATGGTTTCCATCTCCATGCTTTCTGTCTCTATGGTTCTGCTCTCTCTGATTCCACTTTTCTATGGTTCCCATCTCTATGCTTCCAATTTCCATGGGTTCCCCTCTCCCTGGTTCCCCTCTCCCTGGGTTCCTCTCTCTGGTTCTCCTATATTTCCAATCTCCATGGTTCCCACCTCCATGGTTCCAGTCCCTATTGGTTCCCATCTCCATGGTTTCTGTCCCTATGGCTCCCCTCTCTCTGGTTCCCATCTCTCTGATTCCCCTTTCTATGGTGCCCATCTCAATGGTTCCCCTCTCTCTGGGTTCCCATCTCCATGCTTTCTGTCCCTATGGTTCTCCTCTCTCTGGTTCCCCTATGAATTCCCATCCCCATGGTTCTGCTCTCTCAGGTTCCCCTCTCTATGGTTCCTGTCTCTCTGAGTTCCCAACTCTCTGGTTCCCCTCTCTCTGGTTCCCATCTCAATGGTTCCCCTCTCCATGGTTCCCCTCTCTGCTTCCCGTCTCAATGGTTCCCCTCTCTTTGGTTCCCATCTCAATGGTTCCCCTCTCTCTGCTCCCCATCTCCATACTTTCTGCTCACTGATTCCTCTCTGATTCCCCTCTCTATGGTTCCTGTCTCTCTGAGTTCCCAACTCTCTGGTTCCCCTCTCTCTGGTTCCCATCTCAATGGTTCCCCTCTCTCTGCTTCCTATCTCAATGGTTCCCCTCTCTCTGGGTTTCCATCTCCATGGTTTCTGTCCCTGTGGTTCTCCTCTCTTGGTTCCCCTATGAATTCCCATCCCCATGGTTCCCATCCCCACGGTTCTGCTCTCTCAGGTTCCTCTCTCTCTGATTCCCCTTTCTATGGTTTCCAACTCCATGGTTCCACTCTCTATGGATTCCCATCTCCAGGGTTTCCCCTTTATATGGTTCCCTCTTTATGGCTTTCCATCTCCATGGTTCCCAACTTGATGGTTTCTGTTTCTATGGTTCCCCTCTGCATGGTTCCTTTTTCTGTTTCCACTCTCTATGGGTTCCCATCTTCATGGTTCCCATCTCTGTGGTTTCCATGGTCTCCATGGTTTCCCCTCTCTCTGGTTCCCCTATGGTTCCCCTCTCCATGGGTTCCCCTCTCTCTGCTTCACTTGATTCCCCTTTCTTATGATTCCCATCTTCATGGTTTCCTCTCTCTCTCCAGTTCCCCTCTCTATGGTTCCCATCTCCATGATTCCCATCTCTCTGGTTCTGCTCTGTTTCCCCTCTCTAAGGTTCCCCTCTCCATGGGTTCCCCTCTCTCTGGTTCACTTGATTCCCTTTTCTATGGTTCCCATCTCCATGGTTCCCCTCTCTCTGTTTCCCCTCTCTATGCTTCCCATCTCCATGGGTTCCCCTCTCTCTGCATCCTCTCCTCCCCCCACAACCCCCTCCCCCCCTTTGCCATTCTGGCGCTCAGCTCCTCCGTTTCAGCCGCCATCTCCCCCAGCGCAGCCGCTCCTCTCTCCCGACTCCAAGCCAGCAGGAAGCCACATTTCCTCCGCGCTCGGCCCAACCTTTCCCTCTCCTCCCCCCTTTCCATCCTCCTCGCCCTCTCCAGCATCACCTCTAAGTGATGCAGCGCCGTCTCCACGTCCTCGGTGGGTCGATGCCGGCTGCGTCCCCTCATCAGCTCAGCCACGGCCGTAACGGTGCCGGCATCACCCAAAGGACACCGCGGGTAACCGGCGGCTTCGGCCGAGCGCCGGGCATCCAGCAGAGCCTCCAAGGTGGAGGAGAAGGGCCGACGGCCACGCAGAGCGGCTGAGACGGCCAGGGCGGCCATGGCGACGTCGGGGAGGAAGGAATCGTCCCCCACGTGCAGGCTGAGGGCGAAGGCGTAACCGTAGAGAACGTTGGGAAGCTGGAAGCGCAGCAGCGGGGACGGAGCTGGGGCACGGAAGGAGCTGAGGGGGGGCACAGAGGTGGGGGTGGGGGGCGTCGGGCCTGGAATGCCGGCGTCGTCATCGGTGCTGTGCCCGTCGGTGTCACCGGGATCAGCGCTGTCCTCGTCGTCATCGGTGACACTGTTGTCATTGCTGACCCCATTGTCATCGCTGTCATCATCATCACTGGTGACCCCATTGTCATTGGTGACCCCGTTGTCATTGCTGACACCATTGTCATCGCTGTCCTCATCATCATCGGCGACACCGTTGTCATTGGTCACCCCATTCTCATCGCTGTCCTCATCATCACTGGTGACCCCATTGTCATCGGTGACCCCGTTGTCATTGCTGACCCCATTCTCATCGCTGTCCTCATCATCATCGGCGACCCCATTGCCACCACTGAGCCCATTGTCATTGCTGACCCCAATGTCATCGCTGTCCTTATCATCACTGGTGACCCCATTGTCGTTGCTGACCCCATTGCCACCACTGACCCCATTGTCATCGGTGATCCCATTGTCATCGCTGTCCTCGTCATCATTGGCAACCCCATTGTCATCGGTGACCCCGTTGTCATTGCTGACCCCAATGCCACCACTGACCCCATTGTTATTGGTGACACCGTTGTCATCACTGTCCTCATCATCACTGGTGACCCCATTCCCACCACTGACCCCATTGTCATCGCTGTCCTCGTCATCATTGGCAATCCCATTGTCATCAGTGACCCCATTGTCACTGCTGACCCCAATGCCACCACTGTCCCCAACGTCAGCGCTGTCCTTGTCATCATTGGTGACCCCATTGTCATCAGTGACCCCAAAGCCATTGTTGACCCCACTGCCACCACTGTCACCATCATCATTGGTGACCCCAGTGCCACCACTGACCCCACTGCCATCGCTGTCCTCATCATCATTTGTGACCCCGTTGTCATCGGTGACCCCAATGTCTCTGCTGACCCCACTGCCACCACTGACCCCACTGTCACCGGTGTCCCTGCATTCCATCTTCTTGCCTTCCTCCTCCTCCCTTATGGCCTCACTCCTATTGGCCACGATGGCTTCGCTCTTCTCAGCCATTTTGGCCGAGCTCTTGTTGGCCACATTGGCTTCAGTCCCACTGACCATGTTGGCCACACTGGCTTCAGTCTCACCGACCATGTTGGCCACACTGGCTTCAGTCTCACTAACCATGTTGGCCACGCTGGCTGTCCTCTCATTGGCCACATTGGCTTCAGTCTTACTGGCCACGTTGGCTGTCCTCTCATTGGCCACACTGGCTTCAGTCTCATTGGCCATGTTGGCCATCCTCTCATTGGCCACACTGGCTGTCCTCTTGTTGGCCACGTTGGCTGTCCTCTTGTTGGCCACACTGGCTGTCCTCTCATTGGCCACATTGGCTTCAGTCTCACTGACTACGTTGACTGTCCTCTTGCTAGCCACATTGGCTGTGCCCTTTTTGGCCACCTTGGCTGTCCTCTCATTGGCCACCTTGGCTGTCCTCTCGTTGGCCACCTTGGCTGTGCCCTTTTTGGCCACATTGGCTGTCCTCTCATTGGCCACGTTGGTTGTGCTCTCATTGGCCACTTTGGCTGTCCTCTCGTTGGCCACCTTGGCTGTGCTCTCGTTGGCCACACAGGCTGTCCTCTCATTGGCCATGTTGCCTGTGCCCTTTTTGGCCACCTTGGCTATCCTCTCGTTGGCCACCTTGGCTGTGCCCTTTTTGCTCACATTGGCTGTGCCCTCTTTGGCTACACTAGTTGTCCTCTCATTGGCCACCCTGGCTGTGCTCTCATTGGCCACCCTGGCTGTGCTCTCAGTGGCCACCCTGGTTGTCCTCTCATTGGCCACTTTGGCTGTGCTCTCGGTGGCCACCCTGGTTGTCCTCTCATTGGCCACTTCGGCTGTGGTCTCAGTGGCCACCCTGGCTGCGCCCTTTTTGCCCAGCCTGGCACCCGTCTCCTTGCCCACCTTGGCCGCGCTCTTATCAGCCGCGCCACCCCCCCTGTTGCCGCCTGTGCCTCTGGTGGCCGCCGTGCCCCGGCTGCTCGCCCCCCCCCCCCCCCCCCCCCCCCCCCCCCCCCCCCCCCCCCCCCCCCCCCCGATCTCCTCCACCAGCCTCCTCCTCCCCCACCACCACGGCCTCCAGGGCGGCAGCAGCCGGGCGGCCTCCCCGCTTTTCAGCATCCTCCGGAATTCGGCCTTTTGCTCCTCGCTCAGCCGCCCCCACAACCCGCGCTCCTCTTCCCCCCCCACGCCGTCCCGCAGCCTCCCCATGGCGTCCCCCAGCCGGGCCACCTCGGACGGCTCCGGAGGCGCTTTGGAGCTCAATTCCCGCAGCACCTGCTCGCGGTAGAAGGCCTCGGCGCAGGCCCCGTGCCCGCGGTAGCAGCCGAGGGAGCAGAGGCGGCGGTTGCAGCGGGGACACGTGTACGGAGCGCCGGCGGCCGCGCAGTGATCGCAGGCGGCCGCCATCTTGGCTCCGCTGCGCGGGGGACTTCCGCTTCCGGTCTCTGCTGAGGCCTCTTCCGGTTCTCGCTTTGGTCTCTTCCGGTCCCGCTCGGCTGCTTCCGGAAACGCTCGATTTCTTCGGCCCCGCTCGGCTCTTTCCGTTCTCACTCGGCTTCTCCCGCCCCCCCCTCTCGGCTCTTTCCGGAAGAGCTCGGCTCTTTCCGGTCCGTCTTCGTTTCTTCCGTCCCCACTCAGCTCCTTCCGGAAGCGCTCGGCCCTTTCCGTCCCCGCTCGGCTCTTTCCGGTCCCTTTCGTCTTCTGCCGCCCCCGCTCGGCTTCTTCCGGCCTCTCTCGGCCCTTTCCGGCCTTGCTCGGCTCTCCCCTCCCACTCCCCGCCCACTTCGGCTCTTTCCGGAATCGCTCGGCTCCTTCCGCTCCAACTCGGCTCTTTCCGGCCCCCCTGGGCTTTCCCCTTTCTCCCCCAGCCCACGCTCGGCTCTTTCCGGAATCGCTCGGCATATTCCGGCCCCCTGGGCTCTCCCCTCCCCACGTGTCCACGCTCGGTTGTTTCCGGAATGACTCGGCTCTTTCCGGCCCCTCTCGGCCCTCTCTTCTTCCCCCCGCCCACCTCGTCTCTTTCCGGAATCTCTCGGCTCTTTCCGGCCTCGCTCGGTTCTCCCTTCCTCCCCCCGCCCACCTCGTCTCTTACCGGAATCGCTCGGCTCTTTCCGGCCCCGCTCGGCTCTCCCTTCCCCCTCTCCCCCCTCCCCCACGCTCGGCTTTTTCCGCCCCCGCTCGGCTCTTTCCGCCGCTCGCAGCGCTCCCCGCCCCCGCACGGCGCTTCCCTGTAATTAACAGCCGCGCGGCGCCTCTAATTAACGTCTGCGGGCGCCCCGCCTCTAATTAAGGCTCATTAACACCCCCGCCGGGCGCTGAGGGAGACGGGGACTCATTAAGCGCAGGTTTCGCTTTTCCCAGCGCTGCGATGGACCCGAAAGCCCCAAAAAACCCCAAAACTGGACCCAAAAAAACCCCAAATGGCCCCAAAAAAACCTCAAATAACCCCAAAATGGGGCCCAGAAATGCGAAATGTGGGGTTTGGGTTGAAAAAAAAGAAAAAAAAAAGGACTTTTTTGGCCCCAAAATGAGACTCCGGGCTTCGAAAAGTGAGGATGGGGGGCAGAAGGGTGGGGGGGCTGGGCCCCAAAATGGGGTTAAAAAGTGAAAAATTGGGATTTTTTGACGGGAAGAGGGGAAATTCGACCCAAAAACGGGACTCTGCACCCTTAAAAATGGGGGTTTTGATGCGAAATTTGGGGATGGGGCCCCAAGGTGGCGGCTGGACCCTTAAAAGTGGGGGTTTGGGATGTAAAATTTGGGGGTTTGACCCAAAAATGGGGTTTGGAGCCTTAAAAATCGGAGCCTAAGGCAGAAAATTTGGAGTTTTAACCCCAAAATGGGGTTTGGAGCCTTAAAAATTGGAGTTCGGGGCAAAAATTGGGGAAATTGGTTCAAAAAATGGGGTTTGGAAGCTTAAAAACAGGATTTGGAGACACAAAATTTGGGGGTTTGACCCCAAAACGGGGTTTTGGCCATTAAAAATTGGTGTTCGAGGCAAAAAAATGTGGGATGTTGGTTCCAAAAATGGGCTTTGGAAGGTTAAAAATGGGGTTTTGAGAACTAAAATGTGGGAATTTGGTCCCAAAATGGGGTTTGGGCCCTTAAAACTGGGCTTTTCAGATGTAATGTTTGGGGATTTGGTTCCAGAATTGGGATTTGGACCCTTAAAAATCAGGACTTGAGACCTAAAATTCGAGATTTGTTCCCAAAAATGGGGTTTGGGCTCATAAAAGTGGAGCTTAGAGATGTAAAACGTGGGGATTTGATCCCAAAAATGGGGTTTGGACTCATAAAAATGGGGTTTAGAGATGTAAAATTCGAGGTTTGATCCCAAAAGTGGGATTTGGACTCATAAAAGTGGGGTTTGGAGATGTAAATTTGGAGATTTGATCCCAAAAATGGAGCTTGGACTCATGGAAGTGGGGCTTAGAGATGTAAAATTCGAGGTTTGATCCCAAAAGTGGGATTTGGACTCATGGAAGTGGGGTTTAGAGATGTAAAACCTGGGGATTTGACCCCAAAAGTGGGGTTTGGGCTCATGGAAGTGTGGCTTAGAGATGTAAAGCTTGGGGATTTGATCCCAAAAGTGGGGCTTGGGCTCATAAAAGTGGGGCTTAGAGATGTAAAACTTGGGGATTTGACCCCAAAAATGGGGTTTGGACTCATGAAAGTGTGGCTTAGAGATGTAAAACCTGGGGATTAATCCCAAAAATGGGGTTTGGACCCATAAAAGTGGGGCTTAGAGATGTAAAACTTGGAGATTTGACCCCAAAAATGGGGTTTGGACTCATGGAAGTGGGGCTTAGAGATGTAAAATTCAAGGTTTGATCCCAAAATTGGGGTTTGGACTCATGGAAGTGTGGCTTAGAGATGTAAAACTTGGGGATTTGATCCCAAAAGTGGGGTTTGGACTCATGGAAGTGGGGCTTAGAGATGTAAAACCTGGGGATTTGATCCCAAAAATGGGGTTTGGACTCGTGGAAGTTGGGTTTAGAGATGTAAAAACTGGAGATTTGATCCCAAAATTGGGATTTGGACTCGTGGAAGTGGGGCTTAGAGACCTAAAATTCGTGATTTGATCCCAAAAGTGGGGTTTGGACTCATGGAAGTGGGGCTTAGAGATGTAAAATTTGAGGTTTGATCCCAAAAGTGGGGTTTGGACCCATAAATATGGGGCTTAGAGATGTAAAACCTGGGGATTTGATCCCAAAAATGGGGTTTGGACCCATAAAAATGGGGTTTAGAGAAGTAAAATCTGGGGATTTGACCCCAAAATTGTGGTTTGAACCCATAAAAGTGGGGCTTAGAGATGTAAAATTCGAGGTTTGATCCCAAAAGTGGGGTTTGTACTCATGGAAGTGGGGCTTAGAGATGTAAAACCTGGGGATTTGACCCCAAAAATGGGGTTTGGACTCATGGAAGTGGGGCTTAGAGATGTAAAATTCAAAGTTTGATCCCAAAAATGGGGTTTAGACTCATGGAAGTGTGGCTTAGAGATGTAAAACTCGAGATTTGACCCCAAAAGTGGGGTTTGGACCCATAAAAATGGGGCTTAGAGATGTAAAACCTGGGGATTTGATCCCAAAAATGGGGTTTGGACTCATGGAACTGGGGCTTAGAGATGTAAAATTCGGGTTTGATCCCAAAAGTGGGATTTGGACCCATAAATGTGGGGCTTAGAGAAGTAAAATCTGGGGTTTGATCCCAAAAATGGGGTATGGACCCATAAAAGTGTGGCTTAGAGATGTAAAATTCGGGGTTTGATCCCAAAAGTGGGGTTTGGACTCATGAAAGTGTGGCTTAGAGATGTAAAAACTGGGTTTTGATCCCAAAATTGGGGTTTGGACTCATGGAAGTGGGGTTTAGAGATGTAAAACCTGGGGATTTGATCCCAAAAGTGGGGTTTGGACTCATGGAAGTGGGGCTTAGAGATGTAAAACTCGAGATTTGATCCCCAAAATGGGGTTTGGACTCGTGGAAGTTGGGTTTAGAGATATAAAATCTGGAGATTTGATCCCAAAATTGGGATTTGGACTCGTGGAAGTGGGGCTTAGAGACCTAAAATTCGTGATTTGATCCCAAAAGTGGGGTTTGGACTCATGGAAGTGGGGCTTAGAGATGTAAAATTCGAGGTTTGATCCCAAAAGTGGGGTTTGGACTCGTGGAAGTTGGGTTTAGAGAAGTAAAACCTGGGGATTTGATCCCAAAAATGGGGTTTGGACCCATAAAAGTGGGGCTTAGAGATGTAAAACCTGGGAATTTGATCCCAAAAGTGGGGTTTGGACTCATGGAAGTGGGGCTTAGAGATGTAAAATTCGAGGTTTGATCCCAAAAGTGGGGTTTGGACCCATAAAAATGGGGCTTAGAGAAGTAAAACCTGGGGATTTGATCCCAAAAATGGGGTTTGGACCCATAAAAGTGGGGCTTAGAGATGTAAAACCTGGGAATTTGATCCCAAAAGTGGGGTTTGGACTCATGGAAGTGGGGCTTAGAGATGTAAAATTCGAGGTTTGATCACAATAGTGGGGTATGGACTCATAAAAATGGGGTTTAGAGATGTAAAATCTGGGGATTTGATCCCAAAAATGGGTTTGGACTCATGGAAGTGGTGCTTAGAGATGTAAAACCCGGGGACTCGTGCTGGAAATGATCCGTTGGACCCAAACCATTTGAGAAGTCCTGGCTGCCGGGTGCTGGACGGGGGAAAGGCGAGCGGTGGCCTTTCCATCAGCTGGGCAGGAGCCCAGCCTCCCATGCCACCCCCCCACCGCATCCTGATCTGATGGGGATCATCACAGCCTCGCAGCATCATCACAGAACCCCAAGGTGGGAGCAGAGCTCCGCCATCCCAAAACCCCACCTTCACCCCATTTCACCACCAGCTCTCACGGATCCGCGTCCCTCGCAGAATCAACGGCCAGGGTTGGAAGGAACCTCAAGGGTGATGGATCTCCAACCCCCTGCCAACGCAGGGCCACCAACCTCCCCACCTAATGCTCCTCCAGGCTGCTCAGATCCCCATCCAACCTGTTGAACACCTCCAGGGATGGATGCCCGTCCGCAGCCTCTCTGTGCAGCTGTTCCAGCACCTCACTGCTCTCCCTTAAAGAATTTCCCCCTGCTGTCCAACCTCAATCTCCCCTCCCTCAACTTCAGACCATCTCCCCTCGTCCTGCTGTCATCTCCCCTTCCCAAGAGCTGACCCCCCTCCTGTCTGTAGGCTCCCTTTAGGTACTGCAGGCTGCAATGGTTCACCCCATATCACAGAATCACCAAGGTTGGAAAAGACCTACAGGATCATCCAGCCCAACCATCCACCCATCACCAATGGTTCTCGCTAAACCAAATCCCTCAGCACAACATCCAGACGTTCCTTCAACACCTCCAGGGTTGGTGACTCCACCACCTCCCTGGGCAGCCCATAATCCTTCTTTTCTGCATGCTGAACAAGCCCAGCTCCCTCAGCCTGTCCTATAGGGGAGGTGAGCCCAGCCAGCAGTTTGCCCTTGTGGCTCGGAAGGCAAATGGGATCCTGGGCTCCAGCAGCAGAGGGGTGGCAGCAGGGACAGGGAGGTGATCGTCCCCCTCTGCTCTGCTCTTGTGAGGCTCCGTCTGCAGCACTGCGTCCAGGGCTGGAGCCCCCAGGACAAGAAGGACAGGGAGCTGCTGGAGAGGGGCCAGAGGAGCCACAGAGATGAGCAGGGCTGCAGCACCTCCCCATTGGGGTCTCCATGTCCCATTGGGACCCTCCATGTCCCATTGATGTCCCAGTGTCTCATCAGGGTTCTCCATGTTCCATTGGGGTCCCCACGTCCCATTGGGGTCCCCATGTTCCATTGATGTCCCATTGGGGTCCCAGTGTCCCATTGGGGTCCCCACATCCCATTAGGATCCCCATGTCCCTTTGGGGCCCTCCATGTCCCATTGATGTCCCAGTGTCCCATCAGGGTCCTCCATGTCCCATCGGGGTCCCCATGTCCCATTGGAGTCCCCGTGTCCCATCAGGGTTCTCCATGTCCCTTT